CGCGTGCAAACGAGTTGAAGTGTGGGTTCTGTTTATTGTTCTTCGGTCTTTTTTTTGAGGACACAGATATTATATGTACCTTACCTACGATACAATTTCCGATGGGTCGAGCGGAAAATTAATAACTTTGAAGATCTTTCACGCTCTCCTCATAAGTTTGTTTGCCTTATTTCAACGCGATACTCGCGAGTTTCGTGGAAAACTTCACGACCTGTAGGTACATGGATAACCCAATACGTTGCTCCGAAGGGAGTTGACTTATTGTCACACGTGCTTATGTCAGGTGTAACTTCAAAGGATCTTTTAACCAAGGTTCCCCCACGTGTGCGCCTCAAAAGAAATCCTCCCAACTATCTTATTGGATGACTTTTGATGATTGTTTTCGAGGATGTCCTTAGTTCGTCGCTCTTTTTGAAGCGCCCAAATGAGTCTTGTGGACGTCCCGTGGAAATTTCGTTGATGATTTTCTCAATGAAACATGTATCGGTGATGAATTCCAATCGGAAACGAAGTAACAATCCCATTTCCTAGCTGCAGTTGTTTTGAAAATTGTGCACGAAGAGGGAGAGCAGAAAACGGATGTTACTTTACAGCCCAAAGGAAGCAGAAGCAAGTGCCAATCAAACGACACCGATGTAAGCAAGTATAGGTGATTGCTCTGCGAAATAGCATGTACAGTTTACGAGAGATGTGGAATTGATGAGCACATATCCCGACTATGCTGTTGGACCGGTTTCAATCGCATATCGTGTCTCTCTTATCTTTTTCGAACTCTTTTTTCCTCCTAGTCTCCGACATCAATCGCGTTTACTGACTCAAACCATGAGCCAATCCACGGGAAAAATCGCGTGTTTCCTATAGTGCCGCGTAACTTTCAAAGATTTCCAAATAATCATGAAAAAAGTCACCGTATTTCTGCATGGGTTAAACTGACAATTAAAAGACTTGCTTAAATAATGACGAGGAGTAATAAAATGCTGATGAAAGTATAATATGTGGTCGTGATGAAAATAAATCAACAGTAATTGGTTCTATGAGATTCATGAATCAACAGAATTCATTTAACAGAAAAGATAATTCAATATATTATCAAGTAGAAGAAGAAAAAGCGTGTCTCGAGTTTTTGTACGATGAGTGTTGCTCGATAAGTTTATCGATTCAAGTAAGTAATCAAGTTTTTTTTTCGTTAAACTTTGAAAAATCAAAGCAGCAGGAGTATTGTAGATCGAGATTCATAAAGTGCATAATATCAAACCACAGTTTATTTCAATACATTTAGACAATAAACCAGTTGTTAATTTGTTGTTAAGTATCAATGTCTGTTAAAAAAATGTTGTTTTGTTTGTTGTTTGAATGTTTTTGTACGAAAAATTAACAATAACCCTATGGTACACATATACTATTATCTCGACTCTACATTAGAAAAGAATGTAATAAATGTAAGTATAACACGTGAACCTCGTAAATTGAGACCAAAGCATAATATACCGATGGCAGCAAAGTGTGCTGGCAATTAATTTGAATACCGCGATCCGGCGAAAGACAAAAGTGTGCTCTACTTTATCGCTCTAATGAAAAGTACAGCTTAATTAAGTACTAAAAGCGGCGTCGATAAGACACACACACGCACACACATACACGCGCGTACACATCCCATTATATACTCAACTTGATCAATATGTAAATGCGCGTGCTCGTGATTCCGGTTCATGAAAGGCACACGGATGTACACATCAAGTGCACAGTATACGTTAAAGAGGACAGTAGAGTGAAAAAGTGCCCCAGATTATAATAAACGCCTATACCTGATGTTGCAGCAACAATCGGCGACACAACATTTACGGCACTTCCGACCTGATCGGCGATTACTTGATCTCTTTGAAGCAGCACGTTATTCTTAACAAAAATGCGCAAAAATGGTCGTATCAACCAGTAATATATATATATATATATGCATAT